GGTTGAAAATACAAGGTAAAAAGATAATCCATACGTGATGGGGGAAACTAACTTCATCCACACAACTAAAATAGTAAAATCGGCCAAAAACAAAATTCATTCCGTATCTCCTTACTCAGGCTCAGAGGCGTTCCCACAAATTGAATGTGCATGCCGCTACCTACTGTAAAGTAGTGAACTGGAGAAACAAACACAGCGGAAAGGGAAATAAATCGACATCACCAAAAAAGACAACCAACATTTTGTATTTATTTATTTTAATTAGAACCTCTGGCGTTAGGATGTAAAACATGTATGCGTCATCACACTCCCTCATCTGATTGGTCGTTGCCCGCAAACCATAAACCGGTGTTATGATACTAATGGTATGTCGGGATTGATGGTCTGTTTACGTTTCTACCATTGTGGCTAGATGGAATAGGCCTATAGCTCTATTTGGTGGTCGTGTCGGGGACAACCATTGTTGACAACTGTAGCATTGTAGCTAAGCCTAACCCTAACCCTTTTCCTAACCTTAACCTCATTTTTGTTTTATTAGTGTAAACGTTACTATGCCACCTTTTTGTTACACAAAAAATGTTGTTTCCTTAGTTTGTCCTGGTGGTGGGTGATTCTCTCCTTCCTTAGTGGATGATATTGTGGTGGGTGATTCTGACCTTCCTTCCTTAGTGGATGATATTGTGCCCATGCCAAACCGAGCTGGCCTGGCTTTTGGCTTAATGTCCACTCCTGGGGTCACAGCTTCAATGCTAGAGGCAGATGTTTGTGGGACTGTATTACCACAAGGCCTTGTCCCAGACATTGTCAGTCTAACAACCTTACAGACAGTCCATCGATAGATCACGCAAGAATAGAGTTTAAAGAACTCCTCCATGATGCTCTGTTGAAGTGGACTCAGGTAAATCCTTAAATATAATTACTAGTTGCATAAACACGACTTAAGTGAAATTCACAATTTCCAAGTTACTAAAACCCTGCAATGTGACTTGTAATTATTTTCTTTACATCCCACGTCGCATTGATGGGTAAAGGACCTGAAATACCAGGAGCAGCTGGAGTATGAACGCCAAGCATGGGAGCTGGGCGTGACTTACTGTACATAAGGGCTCCATCCTTCCCGCCCTCCTGCCCGTGCTTCTGGTCCCACGATAAAGTGCACCTCAGTGATGATTATGGGATGCCAATTTTGGCCATGCTGATCAAAGACACTTCGTTCGAGGAACACCGGTGCATGGGTGCAACTGGGCCTACTTCTGCTGGGATCCAAAGTGTAACATATTTTCTCATTTTATTTATCATTTTTTTCTCTCCAGATTTTCTCTGCATTTATTATGCAAAGTCCAGTCTACAAATAAGGTGCCTAATGCAATGGAGGACCAATGGAGTGGGTGGAAAATAAAGTGTTTCTAAGCATTTACACCTCAGTCCCCCATGAAATAACACCATATAAAGCGCCTTCAGAAAGTATTCACACCCCTTGACTTTTTCCTTTGTTATTGTTGTTGTTGTTGTGTTCCAGCCTGAATAAAAAATGGATTAAATTTAGATTTTTTTGTCACTGACCTACACACAATACCCCATAAAGTCAAAGTGGAATTATGTTTTTTGACATTTTTACAAATGAAGAACATATGAAAAGCTGAAATGTTTTGATTCAATAAGTATTCAACCCCTTTGTTATGGCAAGCCTAAATAAGTTCAAGAGTAAAACATTGGTTAACAAGTCACATAATAAGTTGTATGGACTCACTCTGTGTACAATAGTGTTTAACATGATTTTTTTAAATGACTACCTCATCTCTGTACCCCACACATACAATTATCTGTGAGGTCCCTCAGTTAAGCAGTGAATTTCAAACACATATTCAACTACAAAGACCAGGGAGGTTTTCCAATACCTCGCAAAGAAGAGCACCTATTGGTAGATGGGTAAAAAAAGCAGACATTGAATATCACTTTGAGCATGGTGAAGTTATTAATTACACTTTGGATGGTGTATCAATACACCCAGTCACTACAAAGATACAGGCGTCTTTCCTAACTCAGTTGCCAGAGAGGAAGGAAACTACTCAGAGATTTCTCTGTGAGGCCAATGGTGACTTTAAAACAGTTCAAGTTTAATGGCTGTGATAGGAGATAACAGGATGGATCAACAACATTTTAGCTACTCCACAACACTAACCTAACTGACAGAGTGAAAAGGAGAAAGCCTGTACAGAATTAAAAATATTCCATAACATGCATCCTGTTTGCAACAAGGCACTAAAGTAATACTGCAAAGAATATGGCAAAGCAATTGACTTTTTGTCCTGAATACAAAGTGTTATATTTGGGGCAAATCCAACACAACACATTACTGAGTACCACTCTCCATATGTTCAAGCATAGTGGTGGCTGCATCATGTTATGGGTATGCTTGTAATCGTTAAGGACTGGGGAGTATTTCCAGGATAAAAAAGAAACGGAATGGAGCTAAGCACAGGCAAAATCCTCAAAAGTATCTCCGATGGGGCTGAATGGCACCAAAGAAATCGCTAAGGATCATGGTGAAAGTGGCCGTAACGAGCAAAGGATCATGGTTGATGTAGTCGTTTTCATACTGCCTGAGGTAGTGAACCCAACCAAAGATTATGGATATACTGACTAAATACACATCTCTCCACCCTAACAAATGGGAGTCATTGTCCACAAAGTGGCACAGCGTGCTGTCTAGCTCCCGCCTATCCTTTCTTTGGATTGGTGGATACATCTCATTATTGTAATCCTTTTTTGAATATTCGATGAGGGTTGTTGACGTCAACCGCCTATATTCAATGGAGAGAGACGCTATGCTACCAGCCTCATGCCATGAATATGCATAGCCATCTCGAGACAACTCTGATATAAAGTGTTTTTTCTCAAAGTTGCCAGGATGTCACGTGTCCTACTTATAAATCGGTACACTCGTAACGACTTAAGCATTACGACACTTCTATTCAATCAAATAAACCTCATGTAGCAAATAAGCAATTCATTTTTTTGTTGACCAAAGTACACACTCTCTCATTGACCTCGATACAAAAACTCATTGTTTGGTGGGCGAAACAACGGAAAAACGCCACCTGCTGGAGGGAGACAGATTTTCCGCCGATTTGAGCCTCTCTTCCTCTTTGACCCAACGCTGCTAGAGGACGTCGGCGTCAATACCGGAAGCATTGGACATAAACAGTCGAGAACCAACCGATCACAACTCGGTTAGGATAGATTGGACTATATATAAATTATAAAAGTATTTTATCTCAATTCTGTATTTTTATATGATTGTAGACCATCTTTATCATTTGTGCAACTGCATCATTTTTACATCATAAAAATAACCTCAGACCTACGATGTCATTTGGAATTCATCAATGATAATTGTATACTAAATTGATATTTCAAACATAGTGTGAGCCAATCCTCCATCTCCATGTCCATCCCCCAAAACGGGCGTCTAAATGTAGTTTCTTTGGCCGTTCTGGCGATCGTAATTTACATAGGCTTTCTTGGGCAGACCAGGGCTTTTGGCACCGCTAGGTTGCTACGTAGTAGCCGACCAGCAGAGCTCGTTACTTTCTTGGGGGGACTAACGGAGTGGGTGGAGTAGAAAGTGCTGCTGACTAGTTAGACCTCAGTCCCCCGTGAAATGACATAAATCATATATATAGATTCTACAGACCCTACTGAGCATTCCCAACCCCACTTTTACCTCGGCACATTGTGAACATACCAGTCTGAACATTGTATTTTTTAAAATAAATAAAACATGTAAGCATATTTGTAATTGTTTTAATAAATTCATTCTTGCATTTGCTTATAAGCACAATAAAAATGGACATTGATTAAAATGTAATATCTATTGAATGAGTTATCCACACTGCAAAATGTTTTAAATAGGGGCTTTTACTTTTAAGGTTTCCTCATTACCAAACAAGTGATGTCATCGTTTGTGCTGCTGGCAGAATACTAGTACCAAAGACTGTACAGTATGAAGATACGCTAAAACTGTTTCTCCAATAGAAAACCTTTACATGCGACTTCTGCTATCAGAATATGAAGATCGCATTGAAAAGACTGGTCTAGATGCACAAATGTCGCTTTGTGGTCTGATTGTGTTCAGATCTGGCTGACCACTTCAGTAGGTAGTCTGGGATGCTTTGTGAGCGGATTTCCCCACAATCTGGACGCATAAAGTGGGCAACGTCATCAGCACTCTTCACATGTCTCCAGAAAAAGTGTGTTTTGGGTCCTTTTCATTATAACGTTGGAGGAAATACTTCCTAGCATGCGAGGAACATGTTTGCTGGCCTCATACATGCTAACTAGCTAATAATTAGAAAAAAATAAAACATGTTTGGCTAGAGTTATGCTAACCCGTTTGCAATCCCTTTAGTGTTGCTTGCTAGCTTGCTGGCTAGCTATAGAAGTTAGCTGGCTAGTTAGCTACTGCCATCAGTTGTTGTGGTGTTATCATATTTAGCCTATTCCACTGTCTGTTGAATGCATACTGGCATTTGATTAGTGTGGGAAAAGGGAATCCAGACACACTGTGGACAAGGTAGACACATTTAAATGTAGGTGTAGATGCATGAGGCTTTCGGAATTCCATGATCAGAACTCTATGATCAGAATACTAAAGCTGCATGAACTGTCAAGTCTAGACGCGGCCTATCTGGATATGTGCTCAACAAATGTTCAACATTCACCTTCTGCTACCATTTATGTCAAGCCGTCTATGCATACAGTTGGACGCATACATTCGATAAATCCAACATATGCACCACACAGAACGCACTGCAACTAACGCTGCAAGGCAAACGCAGCGTTCCATTGGAAATGAATGTACCAAAACGCAAATACACTGTGCGACATTGTCCGTGTGATCTAGGCGTCGGCGTGGTCTGTTTCGCAAGCGTTCCCGGAAGTCTCGCGATGTTGCGCCTCTGGGTTTAGGAACTGTGCAAGTACACTGCTTTATATCTATGGTGGAAAACGCCATATTTTCGAAATGGCATATCTCGAGTTCAAGTTTGAGGACCAAATAACTAAATACATTCGGGAACAAGAATTGGAAACTTCACTAAAATTCATAACATTGCGAAAGGACAAACATTTTGGGCAAAAGGGTCAGTTTTCTTTTTTTACTAGCTAACATTAGGTAGCAAGTAGCTTACTTTTTCTACTCATCTAAAATGACCTAAAGCTGATGATACACTAGCCTAATAAATTAGACCTTTTCATGAATTACTGTTGCAATAACTACTTACGTGACGGCGAGCTTCGTAGGGCTAATGATACACTGGCGATGTTCTTGGAGCAATGTTGCTGGCAACGGAGTGGGGTTTGCCCTTCTCAGTCAGTCATTCCTTGGTCGGTTTCATCAGCTGAGGGCTGAAGAACCGACGCTGAACCGAAGCTCTTGCTAAAGGCGTCCAGATGCTTCCCAGCCGAAACAGTTCGGAAAAGTTAGTCATCATAATATATGCACATTTTGACTTATTTGTTAGTTTTGGACATAGATAAGTAATTTTTTTGGCTGTTCGGGCTAATATATTTATAATTACCCAAATTAGTTCATCTGTGTTGTTTATAGTGGGCAAAGCCAAGCACAAACTCAATTCTACCTTGAACTCTTAAACAACGCTCGTAACAGATTCTAGTTTTGGAACAGAAACATGTATTGAGATCAGATGTTTCATCAATGAGAAAATTAGTAGAATGTCGGCCCAGTGCGACTGGACTTCCTCTCACTACTATATTTGGTGGCAGTGTTGCCAACTCCTCAGTAAGGAAAGTAGCTTGGCTGTCCTAAAAGTCGCTAAATGACGCCATTGCCTAATTTGCATAATTGGCCATGCGCATGTAATTGTGATGGATGCTGTAGGAGAGAGGAATAACATCTTGGGAGAGACAAAAAGTGAGTAAAAAACACCCTACATTTACATTCCGCCCAGGGCGGGATCAGCCAGCGGCGGCTTCCCGCATGCGTGATTCATTTGCAGTCTGGAGGCGGAGGGGTGAACATCTCCTGCTCTGACTGCAGCTGGGAGGGACTGCTGCGCGAGGACTGGGCCGCCTGTGAGTGCTTTGGGACGGGGGTAACAAAGCACCCGCTGCTCGTTGAGAAGAGTAAGAACGATACGTGCTTTCATGTCAGAGTCTCCAAATGTCTCCAATAACACCAGAAAAAGTTGCTAGATTTGTTGCTAGTTGCTTTTTTGAAAATGTGTCGCTAGAGGGGTCTGAATACTCGCTAAATATAGCGACGAAGTCGCTAAGTTGGCAACACTGTTTGGTGGTGAGAACGTCCTGAAGGGATGCTTCAGCTTTATAGCCCCTGTGACGTGTCTGGGTCACCCCTTCTGTCTGAGGTTCGGGCACCCAACATTTTTTCTAGCGGCAAGCCGAAGTCGACGCCACTTCGTCGGTGATTGGTCAACAGTAGGGATTCTACAATAAAGTCTGTCAGTCAACTAGAGACGACTTGTTTTCATGTAACATTTTTCATTGAGAAATACTGCACCAAACATCGATCTTAGTTGATGTAAAATTGCGCGACTAAGATCTCCTAGGCAAAAACGTCTAAATGAATGACAGATTTCTTGCCTTAGATTCATTAGATTAATTCGGACTATTTTGGCTACAGCGTCTCAAAATGGACAAACAATACTATTGCTGTGTTTTTTTCTCATTTTCCAGGCAAAGGTATTTTTAAGGGAGTATGCAAGCACGCTCCTTCCGTTTGCCTAGCTGAGTTTGGCTAGGCACCAGCCGAACTGAAGCACGGGGACGCCTTAAAGGTGTCCAGATGCTTTCCAGCCGAAACAGTTTGTGCATACAGTGGGGAGAACAAGTATTTGATACACTGCCGATTTTGCAGGTTTTCCTACTTACAAAGCATGTAGAGGTCTGTAATTTTTATCATATGTACACTTCAACTGTGAGAGACGGAATCTAAAACAAAAATCCAGAAAATCACATTGTATGATTTTTAAGTAATTAATTTGCATTTTATTGCATGACATAAGTATTTGATCACCTACCAACCAGTAAGAATTCTGGCTCTCACAGACCTGTTAGTTTTTCTTTAAGAAGCCCTCCTGTTCTCCACTCATTACCTGTATTAACTGCACCTGTTTGAACTCGTTACCTGTATAAAAGACACCTGTCCACACACTCAATCAAACAGACTCCAACCTCTCCACAATGGCCAAGACCAGAGAGCTGTGTAAGGACATCAGGGATAAAATTGTAGACCTGCACAAGGCTGGGATGGGCTCCAGGACAATAGGCAAGCAGCTTGGTGAGAAGGCAACAACTGTTGGCGCAATTATTAGAAAATAGAAAAAGTTCAAGATGACGTCAATCACCCTCGGTCTGGGGCTCCATGCAAGATCTCACCTCGTGGGGCATCAATGATCATGAGGAAGGTGAGGGATCAGCCCAGAACTACACGGCAGGACCTGGTCAATGACCTGAAGAGAGCTGGGACCACAGTCTCAAAGAAAGCCATTAGTAACACACTATGCCGTCATTAATTAAAATCCTGCAGCACACGCAAGGTCCCCCTGCTCAAGCCAGCGCATGTCCAGGCCCGTCTGAAGTTTGCCAATGACCATCTGGATGATCCAGAGGAGGAATGGGAGAAGGTATTGTGGTCTGATGAGACCAAAATATAGCTTTTTGGTCTAAACTCCACTCGCCGTGTTTGGAGGAAGAAGAAGGATGAGTACAACCCCAAGAACACCATCCCAACCGTGAAGCATGGAGGTGGAAACATCATTCTTTGGGGATGCTTTTCTGCAAAGGGGACAGGACGACTGCACCGTATTGGGGGAGGATGGATGGGGCCATGTATCGTGAGATCTTGGCCAACAACCTCCTTCCCGCAGTAAGAGCATTGAGGATGGGTCATGGCTGGGTCTTCCAGCATGACAACGAGCCGAAACACACAGCCAGGGCAACTAAGGAGTGGCTCCGTAAGAAGCATCTAAAGGTCCTGGAGTGGCCTAGCCAGTCTCCAGACCTGAACCCAATATCCAGACCTGAACCCAATAGAACATCTTTGGAGGGAGCAGAAAGTCCGTATTGCCTAGCGACAGCCCCGAAACCTGAAGGATCTGTATGGAGGAGTGGGCCAAAATCCCTGCTGCAGTGTGTGCAAACCTGGTCAAGACCTACAAGAAACGTATGATCTCTGTAATTGCAAACAAAGGTTTCTGTACCAAATATTAAGTTTTGCTTTTCTGATGTATCAAATACTTATGTCATGCAATAAAATGCAAATTAATTACTTAAAAATCATACAATGTGATTTTCTGGATTTTTGTTTTAGATTCCGTCTCTCACAGTTGAAGTGTACCTATGATTAAAATTACAGACCTCTACATGCTTTGTAAGTAGGAAAACCTGCAAAATCGGCAGTGTATCAAATACTTGTGTATATTTTGCATTTGTGAAATTATTTTGACGTGATATGAAGGTAAAGGGCTTTATGTTTCTAGAACCGTATCGCAATTGAGTCTATTCACGTTTAGATGGATTTGGCTGTTTTGGCTGCCAGAGCCAGTCTACCTCTGAAAATAACATACACTACATCACCAAAAGTATGTGGACACCCCTTCAAATTAGTGGATTCGGCTATTTGAGCAGCACCCATTGCTGACAGGTGTATAAAAATCGAGCATACAACCATGCAATCTCCATAGACAAACATTGGCAGTAGAATGGCCTTACTGAAGAGCTCCGTGACTTTCAACGTTGCACCGTCATAGGATGCCACCTTTCCAACAAGTTAGAAAGAGCTTCCCCGGTCATCTGTAAGTGGAAACGTCTAGGAGCAACAACGGATCAGCCGCGAAGTGGTAGGCCACACAAGCTCACAGAACGGGACCGCTGAAGCGCGTAGCGCGTAAAAATCGTCTGTCCTCAGATGCAACACTCACTACCGAGTTCCAAACTGCCTCTGGAAGCAACGTCAGCACAATAACTGTTTGAAGGGAGCTTCATGAAATGGGTTTCCATGGCTGATCAGCCGCACACAAGCCTAAGATCACCATGCGCAATGCCAAGCGTCGGCTGGAGTGGTGTAAAGGTCCAACTTTGTGGCAACAGTTTGGGGAAGGCCCTTCCTGTTTCAGCATGACAATGCCCACGTGCACAAAGCAAGGTCCATACAGAAATGGTTTGTCGATCGGTGTGGAAGAACTTGACTGGCCTCCACAGAGCCCTGACCTCAACCCCATCGAACACCTTTGGGATGAATTGGAACGTCGACTGCGAGCCAGGCCTAATCGCCCAACATCAGTGCCCGACCTCACTAATGCTCTTGTGGCTGAATGGAAGTCCCCGCAGCAATGTTCCAACATCTAGTGAAAAGCCTTCCCAGAAGAGTGGAGGCTGTTATAGCAGCAAAGGGGGGGACCAACTCCATATTAATGCCCGTGATTTTGGAATGAGATGTTCGACGAGCAGGTGTCCACATACTTTTGGTCATGTAGTGTATAAGGTCCTTGGACCTTATGGAGTAATGGTAGACTCACTCACTCCTTAAGAGTACGTTCTAGAGTGCGGTATGAAATAGTAGCTGGAAGCCATTGTGGGCAACAATGCTCGACCTTATTGCCTCAAAATTGCTAGTGCATCGTCAGCATAAGGGATTCAATTCCAAGCACAGATGAGTTATTTGAAAGAGCAACTTTGTTAGTTTCCCTACAAGCCTATCATTCTAATGGTAATATATCATATTCTTGACCTTTTTAAACAGATGCACAGCCTTTGGCACAGAAAAAACTCAGCTGGGAGAGTAAAAGCCTCCCATTCAATGGTGTTCCCTTTCAAGTTGTTGGCACAAAGACGTATGAATGCCACCAGGGGAAAGACAGACAAACAAAAGCCAAAGAGAAATATGCTGCTGAAAGGGACAAGAAGGAAGTAAGTTAGTAGACGGATCACTGTAATTTATACCATACACTTTTGCAACATTAATTTCATTTTAATAATGTTTAGTACTAACTAACAATGGAATGTTCCTCAATAAAATGGAAGAAGATGGGACTTTAAACGGGTGTCCTAACTCTGTGGTCACTAAAGATCCCATGGCACTTATTGCAAGAGTATGTAAGTGGGGTTAGGGTGGTGAGTTTCCCCATACACTGTAAAGAGCTTTAGGTGTCTGTCTAGAAAAGTGCTATGGAAGTCAAATTGTTTATTATTATTATTATCATTATTATTATTAAACGTTTTGCCATCTTCCATAGCTTGAAGACCATGCCTTTCTACAGAAACGGAAACTGGTACAAAATACCAAAAAGGTGGACTGCAAGGCTATAATAAACATTGCCCACGTTATCCGCTTTCCTGATTTTAAGGTAAATATTAAAAAGTATCAAGGTCTAGGCCTACAGTTGGTCAAAGTCTAAGGCTGCGTTTACACAGGCAGCCCAATTCCAATTAGGGGCAAAAGAGATTATCTGATTGGTCGAAAGATCAATTAGTGGGGAAAAAGATCAGAATTGGGCTGTCTGTGTGAAACAGCCTAACGCTGTACATAGTAACAGTACATATTTAACAAATACCACATTATTTGATGTCTAGATTGAGGAAAGTACAGTGCGCTCTAAAAAGGAGGCCTCCCAAACTCTGAAGGCAGCACTAAGTGAAACACCCAGCTCCGTGAAGGCAGAGGTTGTCTACTGCGTCAGGTTCCCCTCCCTCTCTGAGCATAGCTCACATGCAGTTGTTGGCGAGGTAAATCTACATATATATAATCTATATAATAGAATGTTGATTAAGTTACCCCCTACCCACTGACCGCTTTATGATAAACTCATGTATTCTTTCTCCAACAGGCAGCTTATGTTAGGGAAGCTGTAGATGCCAGGCTGAGAGAGAAGATTGAGCAGCTGACTCTGTCTGGTGTGAGAAAGATGACTGAAATGAAGTGTCATCTTAACACCTTTGTAGTGGAAGAGCTTTTCTGTGGAGAGCAGCCCCCTCCACCTACTCGCAGGCGGTATTACCCGACTGACAGTGACATAAGAAATGTCATGTTTAAGACCAAGCAATCCACCAGAGACCCCAACATTGACCGTCCAGACGAAGGTCCATCTAGAAGAGGAAAGAAGAGGTCATCTAGGAAGGTGTTGCAGTTGAGGAGTCAATGTGCAGGATATCTTAAAGAGATCACAGACCTCACTTATCATCTCCAAGATGAACAGTGCATGACTGACCTGTCTTCACGTCTCAAAAGCGTGTTGCTGGATATGAAGGCCAATGTTCCACAGGATACAGGCCTTCCACTGACCTTTTCTCCAAGGAAGAGAAAAGCTGAGAAGGCCATGGACCCCCTACCAACCAAGAGAGCATCACACCCTTTCACAGGCGGGGTAGAACAGCATACAGAGGACATAGTGAGTGTGGATACCTTGTTGGCATTGACCCTAGGGTAGTAGGGCTGTGTGGAGACATTTACATTTTTAGTCATTTAGCAGACGCTCTTTTCCAGAGCGACTTACAGTTAGTGAGTGCATAAATTATTTATTTATTTTTCATACTGGCCCCCCGTGGGAATCAAACCCACAACCCTGCCGTTGCAAACGCCATGCTCTACCAACTGAGCTACATCCCTGCCAGACATACCCTGGATGACGCTGGGCCAATTGTGCGCCGCCCCAGGATCTCTAGTGGCACAGCTAGCACTGCGATGCAGTGCCTTAGACCACTGCGCTACTCGGGAGAGTTAAGTTACACTACCTTGTTGGCATTGAGCCTAGGGCTGAGGACGGAGTGTGTGGGTCCTTCCACCAATTGAGTATATTTTGGGTAGTGTAACTTTTATTTCAACTAATATTAACACAACTTGATAAAACATATTTTCTCAGCTCAAGATAAATGACTATAGTGAGTGCCCAAATAAAGTAACGGTTGACCGTTAAACGTGTAACCTTGTTGAAGGACAAATTAAAAGAAAAAACAGCAGATGGTATGGGGGGGTCAAGAGGGGGATGCAATCTGAGGGCAGGTTAGTGTTTTTTTGTCATGAATCTTGTTCTGGAGGCAGCTCTGCAGAGTGGTCACTAGCTGGCACAGCCACAGTAATAACATCTGATTTTAAACCTAACCTTAACCACACTGCTAACCCTAATGCCTAACCTTAAAGTAAGATCAAAAATCAAATGTTTGTTTGCATGAATCTTTACAATATAGCCAATTTGGACTTTGCAGCTGGTCTATCTAAGGGGAAATGGCTCCGTTCCGCCTCCAGGACAAGAATCATGACGATCGTCAACCTGCTATCTGAGGTGGGAGGGGGTGTGAAATATTGTATAGATGGCTAGCCCACCTTAACTCAAACATTTTTTATGTGCTTAATCAGTTTGTAAGAAAGGCGTTCATATGCAGCAGTCTTAACCATTAGCACAGACCACTCCTGACCTGTATCAATGTAATGGCTCTTCTATTTGGGGATTATCATTTTGCAGGCACAGAGCAGGGTAGTTTGTGTCCAATCCCAAGTGTAGTTTGGCACATGTTTCAGTTCAGAGGGATCTGAGAGTAGGAACAGTCTTGGGCCAAAGGGAATCATCCAGAACTGTTGTAAACGTGGGCATGTCCATAACACGTGAACCAAGGTGCCTCTGGCCTGGTTGCATCTCTGTTGGCTTTTGATGATGTTCAAAAGCAACTTTTCAAATTGAAACTTGTGCTTAATGCAAGCAAAAGTTAATTAATGGTTTTCTCTTCTCTGAAAGTAGACAGATGGAGTCACTTGAAGATTTTAACTCTAAAAGGCCAGCAAATTGATAAGGTTACCTATAAGTATCATGGGATTTGGTTAGATGAAAAACTGAATTTTAAACGGCACATTGATAACTTGACCAAGGACCTGAAGTTGAAATTGGGTTTTTATTTTAGGAACAAATCTTGTTTTTCAATGTCAGTCAGAAAGGATCTTATTCAAAGCACTTTTTAAAACTCTGTGCTGGATTATGGTGATATTGTCTTTATGCAGGCCTCAGCAAGTCAGCCTACCTTATCTCTGGACACAGTGCATTATGGTCAGGGCCGGATTAATACAGGGGTTTACCGGGGTGCTAGATGTATCACCAATGCTAGATCACACACCCATCGCTGTGAGTTGTATGCCTTGGTGCAATGGACCGCTCTCTCCACCAGGAGGCTAAAGCACTGGTACACTTTGGTGTACAAAGCATTGATAGGACAACTCCCTTTGTATCTCTTTGTTCCGTACTGACCAGATTAGTCATTCGTGCCCCGTTGACTTGCTAGTCGGAACTCTGATATTTCCAATTTACTGATGCGTTGAACACGGCACGTGTATAACTACAACCAGTTAGCAAGTCGGAAATTCAGAGTTTCCTAGTTCCGACTAGCACGTGAACACGGCATCAATACAGTCTATGCTCATAGTCTCTGCTGTCCTTGTCTGTTCATAAGGCTAGAACTGAGATGGGAGAAACAATATTTTTCCCATAATGCCCCTTCATCCTGGAACATGCTTCAAAAGATATGAAAGTCAGTCTATTTTTAAGACTGATCGACGACTATGTTTTTTTGATAGCTACAGTTGTTTTTAATCTGTGTCTGTAAATTGTGATACTTTGTCTTTTGTGTGTATGTTTTTATTTTATTTTATGGACATGCAGCTATTTCCCTGTTTTGCCTTCTTGGTCGCCCTTGCAAAAGAGGTTTCTAACCTCAATGGGTCTTAGGCCTACCTGGTTAAATAAATTAAACATTTACAAACTTTGCATTTAGAACGGTTGGTTTTACTATAGTTAATAAATAACCAAATCATTGATGGATCACTGGATAAAATAAATACATCTGGTGGTCTGTCAGGATCATTAATATTAAAAGGGTCCAGACTGATGGTATGTCAGGATCATTAATATTAAAAGGGTCCAGACTGATGGTATGTCAGGATCATTAATATTAAAAGGGTCCAGACTGATGGTATGTCAGGACCATAGACATTAAAAGGGTCCAGACTGATGGTATGTCAGGACCATAGACATTAAAAGGGTCCAGACTGATGGTATGTCAGGACCATAGACATTAAAAGGGTCCAGACTGATGGTATGTCAGGATCATAGACATTAAAAGGGTCCAGACTGATGGTATGTCAGGATCATAGACATTAAAAGGGTCCAGACTGGATGGTATGTCAGGATCATAGACATTAAAAGGGTCCAGACTGATGGTATGTCAGGATCATAGACATTAAAAGGGTCCAGACTGGTGGTCTGTCAGGATCATAGACATTAAAAGGGTCCAGACTGGTGGTCTGTTTACGTTTCTACCGTTGTGGCTAGATGGAATAGGCCTATAGCTCAATGGTACGCAGCATCATCTGGACGGGTGCAACAAAAGTTCAACATTCACCTTCTGCTACCACTTCTGTCAAGCTGTCTATGCACGCAATTTGATGCATATGTTCGATAAATCCAACCTATGCACCCTACAGAACTCACTGCAACTACCTCTGCAACGCAATGCTGCAAGGCAAACGTAGCGTTCCATTGGAAATGAATGTACTTCTGGTGTACCAAAACGCAATGACCCTGTAGGTGTGATCAAGGAGTGCGTCTATCATAATCCAAAATGTGTATGCACATGCACAGCAATGTTCTAGAATATTGGACCATTGGCTTTCATACTTTTCGAATTCTCAGCGTAGCTCAAGCAATTTCTGCAACTGTCAAGACATTGAAATGAATAAAGGACAGGTAGGCCTACTGGAGCTGCATTGGTTGGGGATTGTGGGGAGGTGCACATTCACGCCTCGTTCACGCCTCGATCACACCGACCGCGTCATTGCATTTTGGTACACCAGAAGTACATTTATTTCCAATGGAACGCTGTGTTTGCCTTGCAGCATTGCGTTGAAGAGGCTGTTGCAGTGCGTTCTGTGTGGTGCATACGTTGGATTCATCGAACGTATGTGTAGATGGCTTGACAGAAATGGTAGCAGAAGGTGAATGTTGAATTTTTGTTGCACACATCCAGATGACGCTGCGTACTATTTAGCGTAATGACGCTGTCGGTGTGTTCAAGGCGTCAGGCTGTGTCGTCGTCCCCCCGCCGCGGATGGTGGTCTCAGAGCTGCGTAGCTATGTCAACAATGGGATTGTTTTAACCTGCAAAGTTAATTATCCTAACCTGCTAGGTAAACAGACCATCAGTGACCGTAAACAGATATTGAGTGACCGCTCTAACAATGGAAATACATGTCCTCCAAGATGGAATGCAGGCTGGAGGAGGCGAGATCAGGTGGGACCAATCTAGCCAATGAGAGGGCAGATACGCTGTGAACAACAGGCCATTGAGATAGATAGAGGACTCATCCTTGTATCTGTGCCATGTTTACCTCTTATCTCCATTTTAAAGTAGTACATTTTCTTCTTCATTGGATGATTGCTCCCAACTCATAGGAATCCCCACCCAGTTGACTACTTTAAAATGGTGAAACTGGATGCCCTCAATGGCCTTGTCCATGCTAAAATGGTTTATTTCCATGAGTCCTCTATCTATCTCTATCACAACAGGCACAACTCAGATATAACAGGTGTGTAGTGCTGGAGGAGGGCGAGGGAGCTTCAATTTGAGAATACACTGAAAATTAATTCTGATTCTAAATATATTATATTTAATTACCACAAAAATTCCATGAACAGCGATTGAATGTCAAACCAAATAAATATGTAGGCTACAGCAGGTCGGTAAATGGTGGTTTCTTTCCTGTCTTCTCTCTGGTGGTGGCGAGAATGATGAGGAACGGCCCTGCGTCTCAACCAATAGCCAATGTAGGCTAAATATCCCAAGCAGGGCTACAGCAACTTCCAGAGGGTCAGGCTCTTGGGCTTTGCTGTGGCCACTCTGGTTTGGGTGTCCTTGGCAGAACGCTGTAACTGTAACCAAGTGGTCACATCGTTTTGGGTTCCACTGTGCAAGAGGGGGTCGGTGGAGTTTTATGAACATCAAGGCAGACACAGTGAATTTAGATAAATATGTTTTTAACGTTCTGATTGGCCAAAGGTTTCAACAATCTAATGGGCCTCTGCAGCGCCTACAGTTGAAGTCGGAAGTTTACATACACTTAGGTTGGAGTCATTAAAAGTTGTTTTTCAACCACTCCACACATTTCTTGTTAATAAACTATAGTTTTGGCAAGTCAGTTAGGACATCTACTTTGTGCATGACACAAGTAATTTTTCCAACAATTGTTTACAGACAGATTATTTCACTTATAATTCACTGTATCACAATTCCAGTGGGTCAGAAGTTTACATACACTAAGTTGACTGTGCCTTTGAACAGCTTGGAAAATTCCAGAAAATGATGTCATGGCTTTAAAGCTTCTGATAGGCTAATTGACATCATTTGAGTCAATTGGAGGTGTACCTGTGGATGTATTTCAAGGCTTACCTTCAAACTCAGTGCCTCTTTGCTTGACATCATGGGAAAATCAAAAGGAATCAGCCAAGACCTCAGAAATAAAATGGTAGACCTCCACAAGTATGGTTCATCCTTGGGAGCAATTTCCAAATGCCTGAAGGTACCACGTTCATCTGTACAAACAATAGTACGTAAGTATAAACACCATGGGACCACGCAGCCGTCATACCGCTCAGGAAGGATACGCGTTCTGTCTCCTAGAGATGAACATACTTTGGTGCAAAAAGTGCAAATCAATCCCAGAACAACAGCAAAGGACCTTGTGAAGATGCTGGAGGAAGCCGGTACAAAAGTATCTATATCCACAGTAAAACTAGTCCTATATTGACAGAACCTGAAAGGCCGCCCAGCAAGGAAGAAGCCACTGCTCCAAAACCGCCATAAA